GCTATAATGAACGCCCCTGCACCAGTCCTGCAGAGCCTTGAAATGAAATCCATGGCACCATCCCAGTTATATTTCCAAAATGGGGCCAGTATGTTCCAAAATACCAACCCCCGACTTCGCCGCCTTGGCCTGCATGGAGTGGCAATCCCGTGGGACTCGTACATCCTTCGCGGCCTGCAATACCTCTCTCTCTCAACGCTGGACAACTTTGTTCCATCCTGCAAGGAGACCTTGGAGATTCTACGGGCGTGTCCCGGTTTGGTAGAAGTGGATCTATCGCTGAAGCTAACAGCGACAGTTGAGACTCCCAAGAAAGGACCCCCTTTTACATTGCCCCAACTCGTTTCCATGTCATTCTCCCTCAGCCCCTTCTCGGCCTTGGTTCTTCTTGAAACCATACGCGCTCCTTCGGTTCAATCCGTCAAGCTCGATCTCCACTTCAACTCAGACCCCAGCCACTTGTTACCCCGCGTCATCAAGAGCAGCGATGCCCTATTAGCCACGGCCTTCGGTGGACAATACCGCTTACGCATAACTTTCTCTCATCCCCGCCGTCTGAGCTGGTCCTGCGAGCCCTCTGGTACACATCGCCATGGGAGGAAGTTCGAAATCAGGACATGGGACAAACCTGCCGTTGAAACTCTAGAGGAACTCTTGATCGAAAACGATGCAAGTCCATTCACACCGGAACTCATCGAACTTAGTTTCGAATTTCCTTACCATTTGAACATTTCCACGTTACTGGAGAAGTTCGACGGCGTAGACCGCATCACCATCATCTCGGTTGGTGGCTGCGACCTTGATCCGCTTTTCACATATATGTCCAGCGCAACAACGTACGACGATTGGGGATTTCCGAAATTGGAACGTCTTATCATCTACGACTGCGATTACGGCGCGTCACTCCTGCTAAGCATGCTCGAGGCACGGTATGGATTGGAGGGAGATGACGAGGAAGACGAGGAAGATGAGGAAGACGGGGAAGACGGGGAAGACGAGGAAGATGAGGAAGATGGTCGGCGAGACCTTCCCCCTCCATTGAAAATGCTGAAAATAAGCCACGTTTCAGGCGAAGCCGACAATTATATTCTTGGTTTAGTAGAAGATATTCTGGGATCAGGTTGTTTTGAGTTGGATGAAAATGCGGAGCGATGAATTTGGTCCCTTCGTCTCAAGTTGAATAATGTAATTAGATATGTACATGTTAAGCAATGCGGCAGAGGCCGACCAAAGCTCGAATGGAAGGCTCAGGTCCCTAACGTTGAATAGAATTCGAAAGAGCATGGCACACCCAAAGCTCCCCGGAATAAAAATTGTATTTGGAGCCGTTACTTCACGATGGCTTTCAAGTGTCACAAAATAACTGGCTCTTCTTTACCATCGCCATTCCACAGTTGCTTTACTCGCAATCTTGACGCCTTTGTATGGCTTGTACATCTCGCTAGCCATCTTCAGCTGATCAACTTTGATCCCCGAGAACAACATGTGCGGTGTTTGGAAACGCATCACGATGGAACGGGATGGTCGAGGAACCTGCTCACTGCATTCCAATGCATCGGGGGTTTACCCACATGAATATTTGCTCCGCATAGAACGAAAGGAACTTACGTCGAGGTCCACGTGCCTTTCAGTGTCCAAATGGACGACGCAGAAGGGGCACTGAGAGAGGGTATGGTCCATCTTAGCGTCTAAAAAAGCAAAACATTAAGCAAGGGGCCAGGTATATTGGCGAGATTGAGTTGTGTCAAACCTTCTCGTTTGGCTCCCATGCCCAAACGCCAGCAGCACGTTCCTCCCTCTCTCTATCCCTCGATCCCCCGAATCCTTGGCCTCCGCTGTTGAACGATGTTGTGCAAAAAGCTCCAATGGCGTCGCTGTCAAGGCTCAGGGATATGACCACATTCTCTACGCCCATTCGGTGTTTGAGCTGTTCGCTCCCGGATCGAGGTGTGACCGTGAACGTGAACGACCCTCCCTTCTCGCCTACCTCGATCTTGGGCTTGAGGATTAGAGGAACAAAGTTCAACATTTGGTTCTGAAGTCCACCGCTGGACATTGCAGTGGACCCTTTTGCAATGGTGGAATGGGAAACTTGATACTCCATAAGGACGAAATTGCCGTCTGGGGGAACAAAGGACAGGGCTGATGTCTGCGCAAACTTCTGTAGACTAAATGGTGTTTCGCCTTGAATGAGCATCGTACCGTTAGGAGAACAGGTCGCGCTCACCGGACGCAAGCATGAAAGGATGGGTCGGAAAAGGCCTTCGAGTTTATAAACGACAGGTTCAGATCCGGAGTTCCTGGAGGAACAGACTGTTCAAGCATAACGGAATAATTATGAGCCAAATATACTCACCAGATAATTTACTGTTGCAATCAATTCGGCCCCAAATAGTGCTTGAGAGGAGGGTGCCATTTCTGAGAGAGTCGTAGAGATACAGCTAAGGAACCATCCACGGAAGAGGACGGGAACCGCGAACCTCGCCATTATTCCATCCAACTCTTCGGTAATATCGAAGTAAATTTCGTTCTTATTGTGCTTGACTCCAGCCTTCCGCCACGGGATAGGCGAAGAGAACGGCGTCGGGGTTGCGGTGGATAGGCTATTTCCACGATCAGCTTCACGTCAACCGCTTTCGTATGAACGACCGGGCTCACCCCGAGACGCCAGCTACAGAAAGGACTTTGTTGAAAAATGATGGAGGCAGTACGATGTCCCGCAGAGTGTTGCTTTCTGTGGTCAGTGGCTTGCCATCATCTAGCATCTCTTCCAGGAGCTATTCCGCAGTCATACGATCCATCCAGTTTGAGCCGTGATTATTTCCCAGCGAAAAAAGAAACAAACCGCCAACCTGATAGACCACATCGAAATGCTCTTTCAAAACGGAGAGCGAAATGTCTTGCAAGTACTCTTGCAGCACAGATAAGAATCTTTCGAGGAAAGCGAAAATGTATAGAGGGTCGACTGCCAACGGATGCGTCATCGCACGTTCCGGTTTTCAGCCGTACGTCAAACCAGAGATAGCAGGATCACTCACTGTCTTGGCTCGCGGGACAAAGAAACCTCATTCCACCCCTCTCCATATGGCAACAAATCACGGGTACCGAAGCCGTCGTGGAGATATATAGGACAGGATCCAAGTCACCGCTATCAGCCGACCGTGCTGACCGGTTTTCCGGCAAGGTCTTGGAGAGCGCATCGTTAAAGGCGTCGACGATTGACAAAGCGTAACTTGCAGGGTGGTTGCGGAAATTACTTTGGATGATCGGCCGGCTTGGGGGAGAAGACCCCGATGATGAGCTAGAACATGCGGATCGTAAAGGCTAGCTTACCCAGAACCGTCAAGAATAATGAGACCATCCATTTTTCTAGGCGGGAACCAAGGCTAAGGTTAAGTCGTTGGAACGAGTTCGAGGCGTCGTAGCCTTGCGAAGGCGTGGACGATCAGGCGTGTTAGGTCAGCAGAGCTGTTTGTTCTTTCAGCCACCTCTCACCCAGGGGTGGCAAACACGATAAAGGAAATACTAGATAACCCGTCTTGTTGTTAGGACTAGAAGACCGGTATTTTTGCCGGGGCAGTTCTATATCATGTCAAGAAGGGGGAAAAGAGGCGGGGACAACGAAAGGGGCAAGGAAAGGCGAAAGCTGATGGCTGGGGGCTCGAACCCAACGATTTGCAAGGAAAAGCAAAAAGCTATGGCCCGTATGGGGCTCGAACCCATGACTTTGGAGTATTACGTAATCATGTGATTACTTATTAGCTCCACACGCTAACCAACTGCGTCAACCGGCCAGGACATTTGTTGGTTCGGTCTTGTTAGCCATAGCATTGTGAACCGCCTGTAGTAGACCATCGCTAAGAAACCTAGGAAAAAGAATGTCGTGAAAAAAAACAACATACGATTTGACCGGCATCTAACGCGTGCAGTGGGACTTGAGTCTTGTTACGAGGATAAACCCTAAAGCGGGCTGTCCCGTCGAGGCGCCCCAAAATCAGTATTGTCGTTCGAACACGCCAAGGCTGCCAGTCTTAACCCAGAAACACAATCGCGTCGCACGAATATAGATCATACATACAGGTCAACTGAGTCCTCGGTTATAATATATCTGGCCCCATTCGTAGGGGGACCAGGCCCGCGAGATGGGCGAATCCGGTAAGCCAAGGATGTGATATGTTGCAGAGAGCCGAGTTCCTAAAGCCCCTTTTTCTGGTGCTCAATTCACGACCCGGTTCTTGCCATCGGTTTTTATTTATCTATTTTGGTTCTTAAAGAAGGGGGGAAACCTGAAGCCTTCGTAAGAAAATCGATATCCCGCTTCGTTGCACGGAGCTACTACACTAATTTAATCATGATCAGCAAAAGCCAAACCGTAATCAAACGTTTAGGTTTTGTAACGATCCTTCAAATGTTTAGTAGAACGCCTTTTTCAAGGGGGGGGGGGCAATATGTGGATCGTATGTAATAGAAACCTTGTCGTTGATGTCCCCTTAACCTACGCTTGCTTTGATTACTCTACCAGACTACAAAAAGTTAATATCTGAATGGGAATTATATGCGGCGAACTTCTAGCCCTTCCGGCTCTTTCGGCTGTGGCTGGGGGTTTGGGCTTGATCGCGATTGTGAAGCGAAGAGGTTAAAGCTGGGGCGCACGTGGGGGGATGGAGAACCTTCAGCATGAGAGCCAACAAGTGGACCACACCAGTGAATTGGAGTCACTCTCCCTGCTTTCTGTTAGTGCAGACCAAGTGGGGGTGCGGAGCTATCTATCGGCTGAATTCCACCTTTGGGAGCCCCTCACCTTGAAAGATGGAGCCAACCAGATTCGCCGAAACGTCACGTTCCCTCCTGCTGACTGCCGCGAAATCAAATGCCAGGTAAGTCATGTGGATGGTGTCTTCCAAGGTCTCGTAAGGTGGGAAGGAGGCCTGTATGCAGCTTGATCCGACTGGTAGACGCAATGCTAAATGTGCTAGTGGGAGGGCCCACACGTTTCTTCAACGACTGGGAGGCCCCGAACAAGTTTTGGGTTTGTCTGGTTTTCCGGTCATGATGTGATAGACCGAAGATACAGAAGTGGGGGGTGGACCTGCGCAGTTGTTGACGCCACAGACGCTGGAGTAGGCGTACCTGGCCTCCGACCGTTCGCCATCCTTGCCGCAGCTCATCGCCACATCCCCCCATCTGAGCGGAACAAGCAGCAATGACTAGTCTATCGCTGCATCGGATTCCAGGAACGCCAAAAATATATCATACTCCCTCATACATTCAAACCTATGATCTCATCGATCGTGATATCATCCCCTTCACGCGCGTCAGTCCAACGCCTATAAAGACGCCAACCTCTCCTCTAGCTTCCCCCTCTAGTCTCCATCACACTCACAACAACTCGCACCATCTTGTAAAAACTCATAATCATCCATCATGGTTCAACCCGGCACTTACCGTATCCGCAACGTCAAGGTATGTTGGAACGGGCTGGCTGTTGGTCGCGTCCAAACCTAACGTCCTCACCACTTCTCTCTCAGGGCGGAACCTATCTCGACGAGTCCGCCAAGAACCCAGATACCGTCCACGGATGGGACAACCGCGATAACGATAACCAAAAGGTTCGTCACCATTGTCTGGAAACAATTTACCCAATCATCATCTCTCTGACATCAACATGCAGTGGGAAATCCAGGATGCTGGCAATGGGTCCTTCCACATCAAGAACGTCGGGCATGGTCGTTACCTCTCCGCCAGTGGAGCTCGCGACAATACCCCAGTCAAGGCATCTGATAACCAAACCGAATGGACCTTTAAGGACCAAGGCCGTGGATACACGTGCGTATTTTGGCGACGCAAAGAACTCTTTTGGACTTATCAGTTTGATTCCCCTCTGCTATTTAGTATCCAATATCAAGGCGGCAACCATGTCGTCGACCTCGATGAGGGCAATAATGATAACGGTACTCGTGTAAGCCTTTGGGGCTACACTGGAGCTCATCAGCAGCTCTGGGAATTGCAACAGATCGGAGGGTAAGCAATATATTTCTTTCCTGTGCAAGAGAAAAAACTTATATGGATCCTTCCCTTCTTCTTTGCTTAGTGGGTCCAGTGGAGGACAGCAACGTTCTGACCAGTGGTCGAACTTCCCTGGGGACGGACAACAGCAATACGTGGGAGCTGTTCCAGCCGGCACTTACCGCGTTCTCAACGTCTTCACCAATACCGCTCTCGACCTTGCCGGTGGTAGCGCTAACGACGGTACCGCAGTTGTCGCCTGGTCCGCTGGCACCGGTAACAACCAAGAGGTGCGTGTTTTCTGCCAACGCCCGGTTCCTTGAAGCTGACCATCAACCTAAAAATACCGTAGTGGACCTTGGAATCTGGATCCAACGGCTACCGCTTCAAGAACGGTGCCTCTGGTACTTACCTCAGCTATGCCAATCTCAACCAGGGCGAGTTGCTCGTTGGTAAAGGTGGTCCAGTGCAGCCCGTCGAGTGGACCGTCACTCAGGCCGATCAGGGTTTCCAAATCCACCCGGCCCAGAACCCACAGTTGGTCATTGACTTGGCTGAGGGTAAGAAGGATGATGGTGCCAAGATCTGCCTGTGGGACAACAACAACAACGCCAACCAGAAATGGAACTTCAACCGCGCCTAATTTCGTCGTCACGTAAAAAAAACCGCCTGCCCCTGTATTAATTACTCGTTTGAATGTCGATTGAAAGCTTTTGGTGGACCGTTATAACGTACCCGAGTGACATGAGTATTACTGCACTGAAGCTGGATGCTGGAGACGATTTGACGGAGACGGAGACTGTGCGGAACAGGGTAACGTGACCCAGAGCGCCTCAATGTTTGACCGCCCCACTATCCAAAACACCAAGACCGCCAAGTTCGGAACACGCAATGACTAGTCTATCGCTGCATCTGATTTCAGGAACACCGAGTATATCATACTTCCTCAGACCTTCAGACCGATGATCTTATCGATCATGATATCATCCCCTTGGACCAACGGTATATAAGCACGCCAACCTCTTCCCCTCTCTCCAGTTCTCCATCACACCCACCACAACTCGTACCATCTTCTAAACTCATAATCATCCATCATGGTTCAAGGAGGCACTTACCGTATCCGCAACCGCAAGGTATGTTGGAACGGGCTGTCGATCGCGTCCAAACCTAACGTCTCAACCACTTCTCTCTCAGAGCGGAACCTATCTCGACGAGTCCAACAATGATCCTAATACCGTCCACGGATGGGCCAGCCGTCCCCAGAACGATAACCAAAAGGTTCGTCACCATCGTCTGGAAACAATTCACCCCAATCATCAACTTTCTAACACCAACACCCAGTGGGAACTCGAGGATGCTGGCAATGGGGGCTTCCGCCTCAGGAACGTCGGGCATAGTGATCGTTACCTCTCCACCAGTGGACCTCACGACAACGCCGCAGTCAAGGCTTCCTCTGGTGACCGAGATGTCTGGACCTTTAAGAACCAGGACGGTGGATACGTGTATGTATTTCCTAGTTTGAACTTCTTGTTTTCGGTAGGCAAAGAACTCTTTTGGACTTATCAGTTTGAAATTTTCCCCCCTGCCATTTAGCATCTATCTTCAAAACAGCAACCACTGCGTCGACCTCGATTATGGCAAGAAGGAGGACGGCACTCGTGTAAGCGTCTGGGGCTTCACTGGAGCTCAACAGCAGATCTGGGAATTGGAAGAGGTTGGAGGGTAAGCGATATATTTATTTCCGGTGTAAGAGGGGAAAGAAAACTTATATTGATCCTTCCTTTCTTCTTTGCTTAGTGGGCACCGTGGAGGACAGCCTTCTGGCCAACAACAACAGCAGTGGCAACAACAACAGCAGTGGCAACAACAACCGCAACAACAACCGCAATACCGAGGAGCTGTTCAACCCGGCACTTACCGCGTCAACAACGTCTTCACCAATACCCGTCTCGACCTTGCCGGTGGTGGCGCTAAAGACGGTACCCCGGTCATCGCCTGGTCCGCTGGCGCCGGTAGCAACCAAACTGTGCGTATTTTTCTGCCAATGTCCGGTTCCTTGAAGCTGACCATCAACCAAAAAAAAAACACCGTAGTGGATCTTGGAATCTGGAACCAACGGCTACCGCTTCAAGAACGGTGCATCTGGTAGTTACCTCGGCTATAACAATCTCGAGCAGGGCGAGTTGCTCGTCGGTCGTGGCCAGCCCCTCGAGTGGACCGTCTCTCAGGCCGACCAGGGTTACCAGATCCACCCGGCCCAGAACCAGAATTTGGTCGTTGACTTGGCTGAGGGTAAGAGGGATGATGGTGCCAAGATCTGCCTGTGGGCCAACAACAACGCCAACAACCAGAAATGGAACTTCAACGCCTAATTTCGTCGTCACGTTAAAAACCCCCTGCCCATGTGTATTAGTTACTCTTTGAAATGTTGATGGAAAGGTTTTGATAACGTACCTAAGTGACATGAGTATTACTGCACTGAAGTTGGATGCTGGAGACGGTTGACGGAGACGGGGACTGTGCAGAACAGGGTAACGTGACCCTGAGCGCGTTCAATGTTTGACTGCCCCCACTATTCAAACTAACACCAAGACCGCTTTGAACGCCGCTCTTTCGCTAGAGGCGCTTGCTTCTACCCCTCAAGACCAAATTGCCCACGCACACTCTCTGTGCACACGTGTGTCCGACGACAAAAAATGGAAGGCGTTGGCAAAGTCCGCTGGGCATTCGATCAACATGCCATCGCCAACTCGTTCGCCTCTGATGGGAGCTCGTGAGTGAAAAAGAC